CAGGACAACCAAGCACGCCTTTAGTCACTCCTGCCAGAATAACAGGGTGGGGTGGTGTAGCTACTGGCTCAATTCTATTTCCCAAATGGTATGGTCTAACTTAAATTGTGCCCAGTACGCTGATGGCAAGGGGATTCTGGGAAAGGTAGTCTTTATCTTTCTAAGTGCCGCAATTCAGATTACACTCTTCAAGGATGGAGGGCAGAGGTCCTCAAACTTTTTAAACAGGGGGCCAGTTCACTGTCCCTCAGACCGTTGGAGGGCCGGACTATAGTTTAAAAAAAAAACTATGAACAAATTCCTATGCACACTGCACATATCTTATTTTGAAGTAAAAAAAACAAATGTTTTCGGCGGGCCGCATGTGGCCCGCGGGCCGTAGTTTGAGGACCGCTGATGGAGGGTTTGGTACATCATGCCAACGCGCCATATACATCAGAGACCTTGTCTTACTGAAGAAGCTCTTGACTGCTTTTCACTGTGGACCATTCCCTCCTTCTTGGAATTCTTTCCTCTTGATTTCTATGATAACACTCTTTCCTAGTTCTCATCCAGACCAACTACACTTTATCAATCTCCCTCCTGTGTTCAACTTTTTTTGGCCTGCCCCTTAAGTGATAGTTTTTCTAAGAGAATTATTGGTATTTTCTATTTTTATTGCATATATTTTCTTCTAGGGACCCTTTATAGGCTAAATGGTTCCCAAGTCTACATCTCTAGACTAGACTTCTCTTCTAAGTTTCAAACTTTATATTCAATAACCTATCAGACATCTCCATCAGAGGTTCCAACTCAAGTTCAATATATCTAAGTATTGCCTTCAAAAATCTTCCAGCCGAGCCCTAGCTGGTTTGGCCCAGTGGATGGAGTGTCGGCCTGTGGACTGAAGGGTCCCGGGTTCGATTCCAGTCAAGGGCATATACCTTGGTTGCAGGCACATCCCCAGTGGGGAGTGTGCAGGAGGCAGCTGATCGGTGTTTCTCTCTCATCGGTGTTTCTAATTCTCTATCCTTCTCCCTTCCTCTCTGTAAAAAATCAATAAAGTATTTTTTTAAAAAAAAATCTTCCAGCTGAACCCAGAGCAAGGTAAGAACACGCAGGCCCCTGCATTTGTTCTTCCTTTAGTTTGTCATGGTGACAGTTACCAAACCCACCTCATTGGGCATCATTCCACACACATCCCTCCCATTAATCCTATGTCAGTTCTATCGAACTTACCACCTTAGCATCCTTATGTCACTCCCTTTTCTCCATCCTTTTGAATATCCCCTAATTTAAGCCTTTATTATCTCTGGCTCAGACTGCACCAGAACTCCACATTATGGCAAGCATAACCTCTCTAACCTATAGCTATGGCCTATTAGTTATCATGTTTCACTCCGCAAAGGTTTCACTCTCACCTAAATGTAAAATCAGGTCCCTTGGCATGGCATGTGCTCCTTTAAGACCTGGTCTATGTCTGTATCTCCAGAGTTTGGACTCTGGGGACAGAAAGACCTAATCCTTCTCTCAGATATTCCATGTACTCATAGTATGACCTTGGGCAACTGCTCAGTTTTCTCATCTGCTAAATGGGGCAACCATTGGGTTATTCAGAGCATTGAATGGGCTAATGCAAAAAAAATAAACTTAGTCTTGTGCTTGACACTAAATGAGTGCCAAATAAACGTTAAATTGTAATAATAGAAGATGAACTAAATAAATGGAGAAATAGTCCATGTTCTTGGATAAGAAGACTCATTATTGTCAAGGTGTCAGTTAGTCCTAACTTCTTCCACAGATTCAATGCAATCCCAGTCAGAATCCCAGCAAGTTCTATTGTGGATCTAGAAAAACTAATTGTAAAGTTTACGTGGAGAAGAAAAAGACCCAGAATAGCCAACACTATTGATAGAGAAGAACCATGTTGGAGGACTGACACTACCCAACACAAGACTTTTATTAAGCTGCAATAACCAAGACTGCGTGCTATTGGTGAAAGAATAGACAAAGAAATCAACAAAACAGAGTAGAGAATCCAGAAGTAGATCCACATAAATATCACCACATTATCTTTGACAAGGGAGCCAAGGCCACACAATAGAGGAAGGATAGTCATTTCAGCAAATGGTGCTGGAACAACTGGATAGCCTCATGCAAAAATAAATAAAATTATGTGCGCAAAGACCTATACCTTCTACAAAAGCAACTCAAAATGGGTCACAGATCTCAATGTTGGCTGTGACTAACATCCTTTTCCTCATAGCATCTGTTTCTTCCTTAACCAAAATCTTGACATTCCCAGAAAAAACAGTGCTTCTTTTTTAAGCCTCCTTGTTGTTGCACTTTTTGTTTCTGCTACTTAGAAGGCCTTTTCCTGCTACTACTACACCCTTCTCACCTAAAAAACTCCTCCTCCTTCATAGTCAAGGTTTAGAGGAGGCTTCAGCACCCGAGGAAGCTGTCTTCAGCTCTCCCAGGTGGACTCTGGTGTCTGGTCCTTCAGACCCCCGCTGCCTCCTTCCTCCAACTGACACGCTAGCGGTGATCTCACTGTAACATAATCGTTCGCAGGCCTGTCTCCTCTGCATTCAAAGCAACGAGGAGAGCCAGCCCCTGCTCCTCGCTTTGAACATAGTGCCTCGCGTGGCATTAGGATGCAGTAGGTGCTCAGTAATCTCTAACTGAATGATTGCCTTAAAGATGTTGTGACTTTAATAGAGAAATACATTAAATATATACACAATTGATAAAGAACAATAATTTTGTATGTAAAGAATGGCATCCATCTTTTGAAGCCTAGCTCATGTTCTTCTACTTTCATGATTTTTTTCCTAACACCTTCAAGTGTCGTCTGTGCTACTTTTAGTAGCATCCTGAATGGGCCTGGACCATAGAGGGTCCTACAGCATCCTTTAATTATTTCATTTCTGATGCTTGTTTTCCCCAAAAGACTGGAAGTTCCTTCAGGATATGGATCACCCTATGCTTTATAGGATCTAGTATGCCGGTAGCTCACAAGATGCCTGGGGGATGGTAGGGGGGGGTGTGAGGGGGGGTAGTGATACCTCCTGGAGACACCAGAATGCTGACTGTCATCATCAGGCTGGCCCATTTTGGATATTTTTGCTGAAAGTATCAACTGGGAATTTTGTGGCCCCAAGAAAAAGATCAGTTGTAAATGTCTACAGCCACACTAGGGAGACATAAGCATAATCTTTCCAACAACCACAATTATAGTAATCATCTTTAACATAGCTTTTGTATTTATGCTAATTCTTCCTCCATAAAAAAAAATAAGTTGAAAACAAAAGAAACCTTAGTTGGGAGTGGCTGGCGACAACACTTCTATCCTTTGCTGCTTTTTCTGTGCCATTTACTTATCCCTTGTCTGTCCAACACCATCCTTGCCTCTGGCCTTTGTTAGAAAGGTCCATGTTAAGCCCTATCTCTGCAGTTCTTATAAGTCTAGGGAGCTCGCTGGGTGGGTGTCCTCTCAGGTAAGTCCAGCCACTCCTGTTCTAGGTGTTGGTGAACTATGAAGAGGTTTTGTAGGATCCACTCTGAAGGGCCTCCTGTAATAAATCAACACCAGGAATAGTCTTTCCTACTCTACCTGAGTGTCTACACTTGCTTTGCAACACCTCCCCAACAAACCCTCCCTACACACACCGCCCACACTGGGATGCTGGTGAGAGCTAGGACATTGGATAGGAAGAAAATAGCTTCCAGGTGCAGTACTACCTAGAAAAATTTCTCCTACTGACCTGGACACTGCCACTTCCTGTGTTTCATAGCAAACTCCCCCTTCCCCCCAAAATAACAGCCCAGGTCTTCTATTTACCCCTTTCATGTCCATTATGGGAGGGCGACCCAGCACAAGGGCAAGCACATGAGTGGCCCACAAAGCCACATGAACAAGTGAGGAATTGGCCACTTAACAAGTACTTTTAGATTTTTTAAAATTAATATTTTTAGAGAGAAAGAGAGAGAGAGAGAACAACAATGTGAAAGTGAATCGATAGGGCGGGAATTGAACTGGCAGCCTTTCGGTGCACAGGTTGACGCCCAATCAACTAAGCCACACTGGCCAGGGCAACAGGTACTTTGACATCCCTGTAAGTGTCCATCCTGTTTTTAGTTGGTATAGTGGGTACGGAAGAAATATAGAAAGTCTTTAGATTCATGGAACTAGCAAACTTTGAGAAACTACTGGGATAGTTCCTGCCCTTCAGAGTTTCAGAGGCTGATAAAAGAGGCCCGGAGAGAGATGAACACAGGAATACATAGGAAAGGAGGAAAAACAATAAAGACCAGCACTAGCTAGAAAACAGTTAATCGCTTCTCTTTGGTTGCTCATAAGTGAGGGGACTAAGTGAGAGGGAAGCGGGCTTCATGGAAGCTGTGGAGTACACAGCTGGCTGTTACCAACACCTGCTGGTAAAGAAGGGTGTCATTGACAAGGTGCTTTGGAAAATACAGTCCTTGTCACAGCCAATAAGAGCCTAAGGAGACATGATGACTAAATGTAATATGGGATCCTGGAACAGGAAAAGGCATTAGGTAAACAAGCTGTGGGCTGTAGTTAACAATAATGTATCAATATTGATTCATCAATTGTATTTTAATCTGGCGCGTTAGTAACAGGGAAACTGGGTATATGGGAACTCTCTGTACTACTCAATTTTTTTGGACATCGAAAGCTGTTATAGAAATGAAAGCCTCGTTTTCTTTTTTGCTTTTTAAAGTGTTCTTACAGCCTACAGGTTACCCCTGGCACGGAGACAGGAAGGAGTCAGTTTGACAATGACCCTTTTTGGAAAGAAATGACTTTGTTGTTAAATGCCGTGCTTGTGGCTTGATCGTCAGTGCGCACAGCGACACCGAGCCCCTGCTGCTTTCCCAGGGTGGATTTTGGCAGGCGGCGGCAGCATTTGTGCACTGATTATAATTCTGAGATGCATTGTCAGTAACCGGGGTGTATAATGGATCTTCATCTCTAATTACTCTTCTCTCCACAGGTGTCTGGAAAGGGTCCAGATGGGAATGCGCACAACCTCCGCTTCGAGGGGATGGAGAGGCAGTATGCATCCTTACCCAGGTACCTCCCCGGCGGGTCTCTGTCACCCACTCCCCCATAAGTAAAGTCTTCCTTTCAGTCTACATGAGCTCGAAGTCTGGCTCTGAGATAGGGAATATGTTGTAATTTTGCCTCGCTGCCATTTGCTGCAGCCGCAGTGCCATCTTCACAACTGTGCTAATAATTGAAACACTTGTGGGTTACTTTTGGGGGGAAGAAAATAGTATATCATTGCAATGGAACATGTCAGCAAGAATATTGGATGTGGAATGGAAATCCTAAGCCATTGCTATAAAAGTGGTATTGAACACCCTACACCCAGCTTAGAGACAATACAACAGTAAATCCCTGTGCTCGCAGGTCCCCACGAGGAAGGGCAGGCCGACCTTTACCTCGGGGCTCCATGTGGGTGTTAAAAAGCAGGCGAGAAATGTGAACCTGGGAAGGCGTCCTTTGCTTGAGTTAGAATCTGACCGTGTTCTTTAGGCAATAAGCAAATATCTGTGAGAGGCAGGGGCGCGGCGCGGGAATGGGAGCGAGAACTGCGTGGGAAAAGTCCATCCAGCGAGTCTGGGCCTAACGCGATCCACCGATGCTGTAACTGGACGCCCTGAAAATGAGATACAGTTCTCAAAGGTCGGCGCTCTTATCTGTGAGATGAAGAATAATTTTAGTCTGCTCTCGGCGCACATGACAAAGAGGAAACCTTTCCAAAGGGGCATCACAGTGCAGCCACCCTGGGAGTTCAGTGAGTTGAGAGTGTGAGAATGAGTGAGCTGGGGGGGGCGGGGTGGGGGGAGCCAGGAAAGGTCAGGGAAAGCCAGAAAACTGACCTGCTGCAGTGTCTCCTTTAGCAAAAAGAGGAGGACCCCAGGTGGGACTGACCATCAGAGCCGAGCTGCGAAAGTGCTAACTCAGAACTGGAGTGCCATTTTGTTGCGCGTTGGTTGGACTTCCGTATGTAAATTCATAACAACTCATAACAAAAAGAACCTCCTGAAAATTATACGAGGCATAGCCTAAGTGACCGTCCGCTCTTATCCATAGTATGTTGATTGTCAAACGTAATAAAATCTCAAGTCACACAGAGAACCAATTTCTAACACGGATTAGGCAGGATACCCCAAATACAGGATTTTAGAAGCTTCTGTGCCACTAGATTTTTTTACTCCCTGCTTTGCTTTTTTTTATATTTTGTCTCACAGTTTTTCCCATCCTTGGTTTCCTTCCTCTCCCTACTTTCCCCTGGCCTCGTATCTTGTTTTCATTTAAAAAAAAAGATGGAAGTCGTCTCCAAAAGTTGTTTTAAATATAAAATTTCTGGCTTTCAGTGTTGAAGTGTATGGAAATTGTGGTTAAGGCAGATGGAAAGTAGTATGTTCTTGTGAGAGGGAAGAAAAAAAGGGAAAACTGGAAGCAGTTTAACATCTTCCTGGCCAACCTGAACTCAGACTGAGGCAATGGAGTTTTGGGTACAAATCAAAAACCGAAAGAGCCCTAACCGGTTTGGCTCAGTGGATAGAGCGTCGGCCTGCAGACTGAAAGGTCCCAGGTTCGATTCTGGTCAAGGGCATGTACCTTGGTTGTGGGCACATCCCCAGTGTGAGGTGTGCAGGAGGCAGCTGATCGATGTGTCTCTCTCATCGATGTTTCTGACTCTCTATCCCTCTCCCTTTCTCTCTGTGGGAAAATCAATAAAATATATATTTTTTAAAAAATGAAAGAACATTGAAAAGCCTATAAATTTCAGTCACTCTTTCATTCCTACCTACCTCTGGCTCCTCTATTTGGTATCAGCCCTGAGAAATGCAGACTGGAAACACAGTGAGTCCATCCTTAGTGAGTCCTTCCAGTCTAGGGCGGGAAGCAGCAAATCACTTTTCATGCCGGTGCTACCAATGCCCAGATTCCTCATGATGAACATAAAGTCCTCTGAATCTCCAACTTCTAATATTGTTACTAATAAGCCCCGAAGTACAGTGGGGCCTTGACTTACGAGTGTCCCGACTAACGAGTTTTTCGAGTTACCAGCCGTCTCTCAGCCAATTTTTTGCTTTGAGTTGCGAGCTAAAATTTGAGTTATGAGCCAGCTTCAGATACCCCACCGCTAGTTGGCGCAGCGAACGTCACAGTGGACGCCACAACATCAGCCCAGCATCACGTGTCTCACTCGTTCACTTTAATGATTTGACATATGAGTAATTTGAGTTACGAGCTCGGTCACGGAACGAATTGAACTCGTAAGTCAAGGCCCCACTGTACTCCATCACAGCTGAATCAACACACGTCTATTTCAGGATGGCACACTGCGGAGGGCGTTTTCAGACGAAGGCGATGCATTCATGCTGTGTGTGGCTCTGGAGCCATCACACATGTAGGAATTGATAAAATCCCGCCAGCCCCGAGAGTATCATTATGGCTGGATGCGAGCATCGTAGGCGGAAAACAAATGGGCCAACGGTCCACTCGCCACAAGCACCAGGGTGGGTGATCAGATGCCTGAGCAAGCAGACCTCTGTAGCTACCTGGCAACCAGGTTGCCGTGATGGAGAATGAATAAGGCTCAGACAAACACACGTGATCCCTCTCACTGGTTTCTAAATGGGAGGAGGGCTCAAACTCAAGATACCATCTTAATATCTAAAAGGAAGATGCTCTAATCCTTGGGGGGGTGGGGAGAGGGAGGGGAGGGCTCCTTATTTACCCAACAAGCAGCAGAATGCAGAGGCAGCGGCTTCCCTGCTGGCTTCTGAGAAAGTGGAGATTCCGCTGAGTGCCCGCAACATTTCCCCTGGTTTCCTGGTCTCCCGGGCCCTGGAGATGTCACTGTCCACTAATGGGGTCCCACCAGCCCCACTGCTCTCCCTTCTGCGGGCAGAGTTTGGAGAGCACCTCCTTGTAGCATCGGATCCCCTCTTTGTCACAGCAGCAGGAAGCTTTGACATATTTATGGGGTTAAATCTTTAAATAAAAGTAGGAATGATTCTATCAATAGGAAGTCAGTGGCCAACCTTATAGGGCAGTGGTTGGCTGACCACTGTTATTATGCTACTGCTGGGTTTGGTTCCTGTGTTGTTTGTGGATGGTTTTCATGGGAGCTTTGAAGATAAACTCCATAATGTTGATTTATATGTCAAATGTGGAGCCATCGACACAGAGACAATGCTTCCCAGTGGACATATAGGGGGGAGCCCAGGTGAAGGGGCACCCCACTATGCTTTCATGGAGCTGTCATGTTAAAGGAGGCCCGTGCAGCCGCTGCCAGGCTAAATGGCACTTCACAAAATTAAGCCAGAGCCCTAGCCAGTCCAGGAAAAAGACAATTCCTCGCATAGTAGTTATGAGGTTGCCTGAGGCTAAGGGCTAAGCGAAGTTAAGTGTTATTGTTAAGCAATGTTAAGCCTTCTGCCTCGGAAGAAAAATGGCTTTATTTCTTTTCTCCTGGGGGTGTTGCTTTGGAAAGCAGAGCATGGTTGTAATACAGCCTCGTTAGCAAACACGGGCTTTTACCAGGGTCCGTGTTTTACTATCCTGTCCAGCCCCCAGTTTTTTATGGAAGTAAACAGCATGAAGAAAGCATCCCCTTATCCTTGCCTGACACAAGTTATTACTCACCTTGGGTGAGTAGGGAAGGGCTGTTTCCCAGGCTGCAATAACAGGCGAGCATTAATGTATGTATTTTTGCAAACAGCTTCTTTTTCATGGCAGCCTCCCAGCCCCTCTCAGATCTCCTGGCCCCATTCTGATTGCACAGGCTTCCTCCTGGCCAGTCCCTCGGCAGGGAACTCTACTCTCCCACCCCTAGCCTCCGTCATTCCCACCTGGCCCATCACCGGCCCCACGGGACCCCATTATCCCTCCTCTGCAGATGGCTCAGTGCATCAGCACGTGACACTGCACTTCTGGGCTTGTCATCGAGTGCTGAGCCCTAAGGAGTGAGCCAAAAGGCACCACATCTCTTCTGTGGTCCTACGCACGTGGGCGGTGAAAGGTTGCCGGAGAAACTCATAAAACCGTGTTCATGGACTTCACTACAAGACCCACATTACCCAGCCCCAGCTGGGCCCCTGCTGCCGGCCAGGGCCTTTTAGCCGTGCTGTCGTCTCCCCTGACTGTCCCACAGTGGCTGCTCCCGTTAACTCCTGTGGAGATGGCCAAGGCTCCCAAGCCCAATCTCTAGAGATGACCTCACTTCCTTTTCTTTATGACCTTGAAATAGTCAACATTAGCTTCTCAACTGCTGCGTCCTGCACTGCAGATTCCATGTGTCTTCATTAACACACAGGTCCTGAGCAGAGACGATGACGACAGGACTTGGAGTCAGGCCATAGTTACAGCCCCAGCCATCACTCTCACCTGTGTGACCTTGGCTCATAATCTTACTGTTCCAGGCTCAGTTTTTCCATCTGTGAACTGGGGATGACCTTAGGGCCTCTGTGTAGTGCTGGTGTGAGTATTAAGTACAATAATATAAGCAAAACCCTCAGTGAAGAGCCTGCCTGCCGTATTTTAAGGACTTGCTTTAATATTGTTAGCTCTCTTTCATTTTATCTTTGGGGAAGATGTGTTCCTTTCCTTAAGGCATCAAACCCATACAACAGAGCTCATTCTCACTGGCTTCTCGGGGACCCTGTACCAACAACTACCCCTCTTGCCTACATCTTCAAGCCCCTTGGCCATTGCTTTACTTCCCCTGCCTACTACTGTGCATGCAGAGGCTCAGCCGCACAGTTTGCTGAGAATCCCACCACGTGGAGAAGGAGAGAGCTAATAGCTGTGCGAGGTATAACTTAGGCTGAAGGATTAGCCAACTCTGAGAAAGGACCAGTAGTCCAGATGGTCAGGGGCAAGAGGACATGTCAAGCTGAGACGATCTGAACACACTGTGCTATGGACACACTAGGAGACAGCACTTCTTTTAGATGAAAGTTCCTATAATGGGTACAGGATGCAGACTCAGGTCTAGGCAAGAGGCCATGGCCTGTCCAACAAGACCTAGTTCAGTCTTAGAATGTCCCCGG